TGGACTGTTAGTCCCCGAGGGTATCATCAGCTCGCGAGTCATATTGGTGGACTGTTAGTCCCCGAGGGTATCATCAGCTCGCGAGTCAGTGCAACCATGATTTATTACATACTCTTCCGTAATTATCCCTCAGGCAAATGTGACCTTAGATGCATTTGGCTATACATTGTTGGTCTCCCTGATCATAAAGCTCCTTTACATATTCAGGTATTGATACATTTTTGTACATTGTTAAGGTTTGAGCGTTCCAGATGAGATTAAATCCAGAAAAGACCTTCGGACGCATGGCAGTTACACAGTGTTATTTTCAGTTGTCCAATTATACTGATCAAAACACAACATATAGTTTTAACTACTCTGACAAATAACACATATTTGTATTTCGATTGATTCATTCATTCATGATTAAAAACCAGTTGCAAAAGGTCGTCTCGGTGCTCTTGTGTTCGCCTTGTATGCGAGTGGTTACGGGTTAAATTCCTGACCGGGTGAAGCAAGACTTGCAAAATAGTATTTTGTTGCTTCATTTATGTAACCTCCACTTCGCGGTATTTAGGATTTATAGTAAATACTGGTCTGAGTCAGCATAATGTGTTTGGGCATGGTGACATGTCAACCTGTGGACTGTTACCTTAACATTAGCACGTTAGAAGACCCTAAGAACATATTCTAGTACAAAGCATGAATTATATTATGTCTTGGATATGTATGTAATACTTGCAACTGAACATTACGTCTCTCTCTCTCTCTCTCTTTATTAAGCACAAATTACACCCATAAGAGGATCAAAAACATAAAAATTACACGAATAAACAACAATATAATGATGACCATTACATTTACATCAAAATAAAACAAAATATTAAAAACAACACAACAAATGACCTCAAGTACCCCCTTTCGTTAGTTCCATAGACTGTTTAATGAAGGATCCTAAAGATTTCACTTGCTGACTAGTAGTTGGATTTAGAATATATTTCATTTTAATATCAGAAAAATTTGTATTGGGTTTTTAAATCGTTAAAAAAGACTTGTCTTAAATCATTATTTATTTTACATAATAAAAAGAAATGGGATTCATCATCCAGAACTTTGCACTTATTAGAAAATCTTTGAGGGCGTGGAATATTATTATATCTTCCAGTTTCAATAGCGAGGGAATGATCACTAATTCTAAATTTGCATATAAGTTTTCTTGTATCAAGATAAGGGTATGTCAAATAAAGTTCTTGTTTATATTCAGTTTTTATTTGTTTAAAAACAAATGAAGTTTACTGTTTTGGTCAAGAGATGATATCTTATTGTCATATATTTCTTTATATCTTTGCTGAAGTTCATTTTTATAGTATTTTTGCTAAAAATTAAAGCCCCGACGCCGCGAATCGGCATATTCATAACACAAGGTTAACAACAACAAAATTAAAAGCCTTTTGTATTTACAGTCGAGGTGAATCGGCTTATTCCTACATTTGTTTTAATAAACCAATTTTAACCTCGTGTGGATTTGAATAAAAAACATGATTGCACATTAAAATAAAAAAAAAATGATAAGGTCACTATTCATATTCTAATTGTTTTATTCAAAATTGATACAACTTTGAAAGCTCCAAGCCACTCCGTGTATTTTGATATAAATCATTGTTTTTTTTACACAAAAGACAAGTTTTTATTATAGAATATGAAATCTGCATTATAGATCGAAACAGCTACATTTGCAATTTCAATATGCAAAAGAAAAAAAAAAGAAAAAAAAGTAAATTAAAAAGATACTTGCTTTATTCTACCTGATTACAATACATTAACATCAAAAACAACTGTTACAACCTCAACAACAACATAATAACATTAAAGCTAATAGTAACAACAACAATACAAAAGAAAGAAAGAAAGAAAAAAAGCAACAAGCTGCTTTTTGATGGGGTCCGTGTTACTTATTTTTTGGTTTTCTATGTCGTGTTTTGCAGACTTGTTCGGCTTTTCGTCCATTTCCTTTTTTTTGCCCTGACGTTGTCCGATTTTGTTCCACTTATGAGTTTTCAATGTTCCCTAGGAATTTTGCACCTATTTTTTCAATAACAAAAAAAGCATGACAAAGAGACAGTCTACCAAATAAAACTACAAAACCATGACAAAGAGACAGTCTACCAAATAAAACTACAAAACCATGACAAAGAGACAGTCTACCAAATAAAACTACAAAACCATGACAAAGAGACAGTCTACCAAATAAAACTACAAAACCATGACAAAGAGACAGTCTACCAAATAAAACTACAAAACCATGACAAAGAGACAGTGTACCAAATAAAACTACAAAACCATGACAAAGAGACAGTCTACCAAATAAAACTACAAAACCATGACAAAGAGACAGTCTACCAAATAAAACTACAAAACCATGACAAAGAGACAGTGTACCAAATAAAACTACAATAAGCAAAAGGAAAAGGAAAACGTATGACAAAAGCAACCAATCTCAAAATAATACAAACTAGAACAAAAAAATAGAATTAAAATCCATAGTGCCAGATTTTATTATCCATGAGCGACAAACAATCACGTGTGCACTTCCAAACATTTAAATCGATATTAAATGAATTACAGCGAGATTAGGGGTTTTAATTATTCATGTCAAGGGTGGTCGGATATCATTAGTTAAATCACTGGAGTGAAGCAACTAAATTGATTAATAAATGATTTAATTCCTTAAGTACTGACCTTTATGTAAGTGTAAGGAGCGACATATCTGTATCGTGTTCTCGAGAGTTATCCTTCAATAATTCATTACACATCTAATATGTTCATATAGTTATTTCTGTAAGTTTATGGCACATGTACTTGTTTTGTAATATTGGATTGAGAGTCTAAGCAGTTAACGGAAAGGGACACACTTTAGATTCTCAATGTGGAGGACCGCATGGTCAAGCCCTACACAGTCATGCAACTCATTCAAGTTTGAGTCACCTTTTGAAGTAGAAATGAATTTGCTTAGAAAGCATAAACATTCAAAAAACTTTTATCTTTTAACACAACCGAATTAAGGTTGAAATTTCATTCACGGTCATGAAACTTAGAAATGTTTATTGGTCAGAGATATTAGCAAAAATACACATTATATAGGTTCTTATTGAACATTCCAGTCTTTTTTTCTTAAGATACATGGCAAGTCTGACCTACACTTATATTTGTACAGATTATCTTTACTATTAAATGAGAAGACCTCATTTTGTGTGTCACTTCTCTTCCTTCCACTATAAATTAATCATCATGCCTCTGTGTCCTATAGGTACCATGCATAGTCGCATTTGTCATCCTCGCTTATAATTATTCAGTTTGGGTTATTTTGGGAGGAAAACGAAAATAAAGGCGTCCGGATATTGTTTCCGTCATCGGACGGACTTTTAAGTCATTGACAAGACTTCCGTTTAGGACTGTTTTAAAATTACTCATAATTTTCATAAGTACTTGCTGGGACTATTATACTAGAGAGTCTCTATATAATATATCAGTGACCGCCGTGGATAGTATTAAACTTGGAGTTGACAGTAAATAGAGTCTCTATATAATATATCAGTGACCGCCGTGGATAGTAAACTTGGAATTGAAAGTAAATAGAAAATACACTTTATGTATAGTATAATTATGTATGTTCATAGTATACAGAAAAACGCGAAAATAATTGAAATTAACAGAAAACAAAAAATAACGGACTTTGGAAAAAAGGGGGAGGGCTAAAAAAAATTTCCTGTCCCCAAGTACCTATGACTTTTGATACCTTTCCTGAAATTCTCCAGTCATAAAATTGTTTACAAAAATTCATCCTACAACAGTTTACATACTTTCAACCACGCTCTAAATGCCCGCGATTTCGCGAGTGTGCTCTGACTAGTATATACATGTATAATAGTATATACAGGAGGGTCCGGATGGGGGTCCTTAATTTCTGTATTCTTTAATGTTTTGGCCTTTTTTCTTTATTCTTTATACTTTTTGACCATTAATCTCTATTCTTTATACTTAACCTCCTCAATTATCTCTATTTTTTTTTATTTATTTGGTCCATTTTTCTCCATTCTTTATATGTTTTGCCCGTTATTCTGTATTCTGTAAACCCCCCATCCATACCCTAATACAGTCAAACCGGCCCTAAATGTCACCTAAAGGTCACCTATATAAAACAAAATTATATCTTGTCAGATCACCCCCTTCTTATCCCACTGTAGTAATACCTCTGCATTTGAACCTCAATTCAAAGGCCTTCTATCTCATTACGTCAGAGAGTGACCTCTGTATACTGGTTTTAGTGAAGCCAAGCTCTAAAGTTAAAATCGTGCCGATTGTTTATAATTAAAGAGAAATAACCAACTACCTACCATCAACACAAAGTTCTCTAAATAACATAAAAAAACGTGAAAATACTATATAAAATAGCCACTGACGAGGTTCTGAAGTTAGGACTGGCACATCTAAGCTAATGGCGTGTTTTATATAAGGTCGTTCAGAAAAGAAAACGAAAAAATTTGTATTTTTAAATATACATGTATATATATTACATGAAGCGTTATTAATTTTCTATGCGTATGATAACATCGGGGCCTTTTATAGTTGATTTTGCGTTATGGGTTTTACTCATTGCTGAAGTCCTTACGGCGACCTATAGATATAAACTTCTATGTCATTTAGTGTGTGATGAAGAGTTGTATCATTGGCAATCAGTCCATATCTTCTAATTTTTTATATAGGAAATTTAGCAATGTGAAAATGAAACATGATATGCCCCTGTTATAGTAAACAGTATATTAAAATACATTAAGCAGGACGGATGTAAAATAGGGATAACACATTCAAGATATAAAAGATATTTAATTTATCAGTACAAACACCTCGATAAAAGGGGGAAACAAATCATGTATCCATCTTAGGAAAAGGAAAAAACACTTATTATATAAAAGTCATGATAATTATAATTTTTCGAACAAAAACACACTCAAGACCATTGGTTTACCCGGAACACTTGACTGAAGCTGAACAAATATATTTTTTTTTTCATCATTTAAGAAAAGTGCTAATATAGAAAAGTACAAAATGGCTTCTCTTAAAATACAAATTGACGACAATACCAAACGACATGAAGACGATCATACAGATGGACACAAGAAGATGGAAACTGCAATTAACCTTTCGTGGAAGCAGTTGTTCGCTATGTGTATTCTGATGCACGTGATACGTAAAGGCATGATATTTTTGGTGACGTTTGGCTTAGGTTTCACTGTAGCTTACCTAACAATTTGTGGTAAGGCACGCTGAATAGTATTTTAATTTTTATAAATTGTTCATATTTTTCCAGATGAAATAATATAACTTAAGGAAAATGGGGGTCTAATTAAAAAACAAAAAACAAAAAAAAAAAACGATAGAATTGTTTAATGATATAGTAAAATATAATTTTTATCATGCTATTGTCCATAATATAATAAAAAGTATTGGTCACGAAGCTTTTTCTTAAACTACAGGTTGTGCAAAATTGTCAGATTTTGTATAGATTATACATTCAAATTTTGTGTAAAATATAAAGATAACTGAACAATAGATTTTTGAAGTAAATTATGAGAAGAAAGGTCCTAGGTATGACGATGAAAAAAAAAAAACAGTTTGAGTTTGCCCAGAATAATGATTACATAAACTTTATGATAAAGTGATTACTTCTTAAAGTAAAGAATATGTACCGAAAGAGATAAGGCGTGTTTCCAATTATCTTTTAATTGTACGTGTTGACTTTGAGGCTAGCTCATAACATTTATTAACAATGATCAATTTATAGAATGCCTTATAGAACCATGGAACTAAGTATTTAATAAAACTAGCAAATTTTAATTTACCTGCGTTTATAAACAAAAAAATAACACGAATAACTTTTCAAGCTATACAATTGATTATATCGACAGTGTATACTAGCATTTGTCAGTGGCTGTCAAATTTTGTCGATCTTTGTTCTGAGCGACTTACATTAAAATCCTACGTTACCTATTGTAATATTTATCGAAAGTAAATGGACGTAACTATGTAACAATAGATACAAGGCAATCCAGTGTGTCCGCGCATCTTCTGACTTCAGGTTACGGTTTGTGAAATTTATATATAAAACCAATAATCGGATCATGGATATTTTGTGAACAAATTCATGACATGCTTTCATTTTCCGAAATCTTCTTTAGATATGATTGAACGCTTTAGATTTTGTGTAATGTGTGTCCAAAATTAGGGAAACTGTTGTTTTGACAGTTCTTCGATTGTTCAATGATTTCGCGCATGCCATTTGACAATATTTTATATACAATTGTAAAAAGGAAATACGAAAATCTTTTCATTTCGAACCAAACAGACCACGAAGGATGCGAGGCAAAAGTTATTTCATGTTGTTAAAATTTGCCTTAAATTTAATTGAAACAATTTTATCTGAATATGGCAAAAAATATGCCAAATTATGCCAAAAATATGCCAAATTATGCCAAAAATATGCCAAATTTGCAATAATCTATAAAGAAAACAACAAATTCATTAATTTTCAACAGCAGGTATGACGATGAAAGACATTTGGATTGATGGAAGTTTATATAAATAATGAAGTAGTTTTAGGAATATCATTAAGGAGGGGGCTGGACAGGGGTAATGGAACATGGGAATTAGGGGGCGGGAAGCGGGAGTCAGGGGGAGGGAAGCGAGAGTCAGAGGGCAGAAACTGGAGAAAGAAGGGGAGTAAATATTGGGATATTCTGGGAAATTGTTTAGCCGATTTTCGTCTGGAAGTAAAGGGGGAGGGAAGTGGGAGATAGGAGGAGGGAAGTGGGAGTTGTGGGGTAGGGAAGTGGGAATCAGGGACCCCCTGTCCACTCCTCATTAAGGGTCTTTGATACCAAATTCCACATGTTTGAATGTATTTTCTGGTATTGATTTCATGAGTGAAGCAGGGAACTGGATCATATTTGTTTTTCTATCTATTTAAGGAGGCTTCAGCTGTAAGCAATTCCAATCACACAACTCGCCAACACTGGATCAACAGATATCAAACATAACAAAGACGCTTGGTGAAATTCAGATGAAGTCAGCTGATAGCAGGCGAGGTACTGTCATTAACATTATATGAATTGAAAAAAAAAACCAAACATACATTTGTATATAATAAAAATTAAAACAAAACAGCCAACTTAACAGAAAAAAGGAAAACAATCGAAATCAACGACATGGCGATGATAAGGAGAAGCGGGGGTCCTTCAATTCTGTTTTCTTGAATGTTTAAGCCATTTTTCTCTATACTTTGTAAAATTTCCCATTATTGTCAATTCTTTATTTTATTGGTCTATTATTCTCTATTCTTTATTTTTTTAGCCCATTTTTCTGTAGTATTGGACTACTATTCTTAAATTGTTTTTAGGCAGAGGTTATTTGAAACATTTCTAGATTCTGTTTCAATATCTGATCTAAAGAGTAACCAATCATAATAATAAAGCCTTTATTCAGTTAATAACAGTTATCATTAACATAGCCACTATGTGGAGGAATCTGTGTCTCTCATCAAAATATAAAAACAGTTAAAGTTTTGTTTCAAAATCTAAAACGCAAAAATGCTAAATTACCACTAAAAAAGACATAAAAAGAGAGTGATAACCATTGACAAGGTTCTGGACTTAGGATAGGCTGATCAATATGTGAAAATATGTTTCAAACAATCTTCTACCCGCATTTTCCCGAAATATTGCCGTAAGGCGACGTACTTCAATTTGATTTTTTTGAGAGGCAGCAGGAAGAGCAGGAACATTCTTAGTGAACGAATATTCATTTTAGAATTTACAAACACTTGTATTCGGCATTTTGTTGTCTAGAATATTCATTTTCATCCTGTCTTTGGCATATTTGTTTCAGATCTTTCCAGGCCAGTATATTCATTTTTAAAACCCCTATTTTTAAAAAAAAAGGTCGACTCGTGATGAAAAACAGATGACCTCGAAAAAATTCATCATGAAAAATATATCATTAAGGCCTTTAAGTCCATAATATCGGTAGTGTAGAAAAGCAATCCCCTTCTAAAAAAATAATATACTTTTTATAATAATTGATTTTGATTGATTGATTGATTGGTGTTTAACGCCCCTTAAAACATTATTGTCTATTTCGTAGGGGTAAGTTTTTATTGGATGAAGCCGCAGTGCCCGGAGAGTACCACCGACCTTCAGCAGAAAAACTAACAATTGTTGTCAATTAAGATTGGAGTCGCGGTCAAGCGCACCTGCCACGTGCAAAACCTCAGTGTTGACAGGCTAGTGATACTGTTGTTGAACGACTTTTTTTTCTCTTGATAAAATTTTATTCAAATATGTACAATAAAAATTCACCAGACAGTACCTGGTGTTACAAACAAACAGTTATATGTAGTCAATTAAAACAATAATATCGAAAGCAATTCAACAAAAGATTGAATATGTTAATTCTATGACATATCAACTAGTATAGTTTAGAATTAATATAATAGTTCCGCATGGCCATCTGTTACTTTAATAACAGGATTGTCTAATATAAAATATTTTTCTAATAATAAATGTTCTTTTCTCAGATTTTAAAGATAAAAAAAGTGAGAGATGTATTTTTCTAACAATATTTTAAAATAGTCTACTAAATTGAGTTTAGCTTGAGGATCAAACAATACGAAATTTCTTCTCTTATAGATGCTTAATCTTGCTATACTCATAATAAAATTTGCGAAATAAAAATTAAAACCGTTACTTTTCTTAAAAAAAACCATTAGCATCATTTGGTCAAAATCAAGCGTGTTTACAAAGGTATCATCAACGTTGCACATACAATTTATTAAATAATCTTTCAGAAAATCAGTGAATTGTGACAGATTGACACAATTAATAAACATATGTTCTAAATCTTCTCTAGATTGTTTACACACCGGACAAGTGTCATTATCAGACATGTTACATTTCAAAAGTTTAACTTAAGTAAACAAAGTTCTATGAAGTACTTGAAAATTCAGTTCTTTGCATTCACCAGGCATTGTTGATCGACTTAGACCACTCGGCCACCGAGAGCTCCTAATAAATGATATAAATTGCGTTTACTTTGTTTATGCTTTATAGTTCCATTCAAACGAATCACATGACTTTATTTCATCACGTGATTTTGTTTTTATCTTTTCAGTTTCAATAACAATGTGCTTACAAGGATACCACACAGTTTCCGAGAATAAAGGTCTCCAGTTTTCAGACGTTCGGGCGATACCAGGAATTGCTGAAAATCATGGCGTATACGTTTTTAACTACACAGGACTATACCTCATAACAGTTACCATAGTTTCTGACTCGTATGATGCGCAGTTCATGTTTTGTTTAAAAATTCTGATCTCAAAATGAAAGGATTGGTTTCCAAACATCCCCAGCAACAATCTAACTCAAGTGACTTTGAACACGGCGTCACAATCGTTGTTGCACTCAAAATTGACAGAGATGATAGTCTTAGAATTGTAGCGGAAAAGACAATGACGATGAGCCCTTACGGTACTTGTCTTACAATTGTAAAACTAATGTAAATTGTAAAATACGTTGATAATATTCGACCAAAAATGTATTCTTTTGATTAATAAAATAATCACCAGATTTTTGCATGATATCATTATAGTGAAGGAAGACCCTCGTGGAGAAGAATCATTTAAGGGTGACCTAAAACACTAAGCCTTGATGATTCAATGAACACGTTCATATATTGTTCGGGTTATTTTGACCGTTGAGCTCTTATTTCATCGAACAGACTTATACACAAAGTCTCATTTTATTCATATGTTGTTTTATTTTGCGAATACTTAAGCTTGGTTTGCAAAGGTCACTTTGAGTCTTCCTGAAAATTCAATTTGACCGTTATTCAACTATACTGGTAAAGTTCCTAAATTGTGTTTTTATGAGATGATACATTGAGATATATTGGAACCAGTAGGTAAACAAAAAAAATATCTATGAATATTAAGTATCTCCCCGAAAGAGGCGTGGTTTGTGAATCAGCTGTATTTACAAAGTGCGATCTTTACTTACATTTATTCAAATAGGAAAAAGATGTAAAAAAAAATGCATCACAACAATACATATTTATCAGAATTATAGCCTTAAAGAAATTACTGCATATAATTCAACTTCGCTATTAAAGTATATTTAATGTACACCACCTCTGTTGCAATTTTCAAAGAATTTGAAAACAACACTTTAGTTATTGTCAGCCTGTCTTTAAGCATGTTTTCTGACATGAAAGGCCTAGAACCTGTATAAAACTACTCTGATAACAAATTAAAAGCCTTTTAGAATACTATAAAAGAGAGGCGAAAGATACCAAAGGGACATCCAAACTCATAAGTCTAAAATAAACTGACAATACCATGGCTAAAAAAGAAAAAGACAAACGAACAAACAACAGTACACAAAACACAACATAGAAAACTAAAGACTGAGCAACACGAACCCCACACAAAAAGGGGGTGATCTCAGGTGCTCCGTAAGGGTAAGCAGATCCTTCTCCACATGTGGCACCCGTCGTGTTGCTCATGTTAGTACAAACCCGGTAATAAGTCTAATTCGGTAGATCACATTCGGGGAAAAGGGGACGGGATTGTGGTTACCACATTTGGAACATATCCGCTATCATCTGTGAAACGGATATTCCATAACGGTCAACCAACTCGTGGTGGCGTCCTTAAAATTTACGAAGGAATGATTTCAACTTCACCTCTTGGAACTCTTGGTTTAATAGCTTTCTTGTGAGCAGCAACCCTCTATCAAGGAAATCATGATATGAAATACAAGCCCTGGAATATCGTATCAACTGGGAGATATATACTTCGTATGCAGACTGTTGCTACATAGGAATGGAAAGTTCACAATTGGGAAGCTATAATCATCTCTTTTGTCGTAAATTTTTGTTTCAACCGACTCTCATTGTCAATTTCTAGATGTAAGTCAAGATATGAGGCAGATTTAACTGTATCTGTTGCATCCTTTATCTCAAGTTCGGTGGGATAGATGCGTTCAACATAGTCACCAAATTTTGAATTATTTAGTGAGAAAACATCATCTGTATAGCGGAAAGTAAAGTTAAAGGATAGTGCTAACTTCTTTTCTTTCTTCCTAAGAAGTTTTTGTATGAAGTCAGTCTCATATGAATAAAGGAATAAGTCGGCAAGAAGAGGGACACAGTTGGTTCCCATGGGAATGCCGATTGTTTGTTAAAAAAAACACGTCCTCCAAACGTAACAAATATGTTGTCAATCAAGAAATCAAGCATCTTGATAATGTCAGTTTCAGAGAATTTTTTTCTTGAATCAGAGTGATTTTTTACAAAGTAAATTATCCCTCCCAAAGACGAAATACTTGTATCTACGTTGGCCATTCTTTTTTATGAAACAAAGCAGGACCAACTCTTCCAATTTGTCTTTTAATTTGGTGTCAAGTTTAATAGTTATTATAATTGTCAAGATTATATAAAGAATCAAATCCTGCCAGTGTCTCCAGTCAACGTCTTACTGTATGCTTATTTATCTTTAAAAGTTCACACGTTTTGCCTAAATTGTTCATTTTAGAAATCTTGTCACTATCTTTTCATCTCTTACCATATATCTAACTTAATTTGACTAATGTATGAACTAAAAGTGTTTAAGTCAAGTGATTTTTGCAATAGTTGTATTTATGAAGTTACCAGTTTGATATATAAATTCATTAACAATTTTATAGAAATAAACTCATCATAGATACCAGGCTTAAAATATATCTGATTACAGGTTAAATTAGCAGTTGCATGGCCCAGGGGTTAGAACTTTTTCTCTGTTTTGTGCCCTGTGTCCTCAAATTTGCTAAATAATTTTGCCATTTTTGTGAATATGGAATATTAAGTTTATTTTTAGGAGAGAACACACTATTTTAATTTTTATATAGAGGTAATTGCATATCTCTAGTTTAAATAAATTGATGCCATGGTCTCAAAAAAACATAGTAAGGTGTTTTCGACAGGACAGTTTATCAAACATCAAAGAGTTTCAATGACTGCGAAAAGTAAATATAAGCACTTCTTTTAACAATTTAAAATACATACTACATATTTCATGAAATTGCATTCCATACACGGCTTTAGGTAAACTATGCATACTGTGAACTGCGGACTTATGCTGAGTCATCATATTTAAAGATTTTCCTAATGTTAATGAAATATTTATAAAACTTTATATTTGCGTTAATATCATTAAAATATCGGGAAATAAACTAGATTTGGCCCTTTTGCAAATCATGCTACTTTCCCACAGTTTTTGTTTGTTACCTTGATTTGTCTACTGAAAAGATTTATAAGATTTGAACATCGAACATCGTTAAACTTCTGTTGTGTTTTCCTTTTTGAGGGAGGGGGAGGGGACAAGAACATAATTATTAGCTTGGATTTTGGCATTCATAGAATTAATATTTTCAATACACATTTGAGGTTTGAATGTTGAATTAGTATAAAAAAATATTGGTGTTACAGTATTACACATGGATATCCGAGCAAATTTTGAAATTCCTTCCTTTACGTTAAATTATCATGGTTACAAATATAGGTCAAGAAAGGCGAAATAAAACAAAAGGACATTCAAACTCATAAGGCGAAAATAAAATGACTACGACATGGCAAAAAACGGAAAGACAAACAACAGTATACAAAACTTAAGACTGAGCAACTAAGAACCCACCAAAAACCGGAGGTGATATCAGGTGCTCCGCAAGGATAAGCAGATCCTGCTCCACGTGAAAGTGGTAATAGAGAGAAAATATGGTGTAAGCAGAGCGACGATAATATCTGCCAAATGATAAACATGAACAGGAAAGGTGAAATCCCATCAAAATTCGAACAAAATAATCTTACACAAAAATATTTTGTTCTTGCAGATGTATCTAGTAGTAACAATACCTAGTCCGGTATTATTCTGACGCCTGGCGTCCTTTTAGGTTTTTGCGAAGGCCGTCAGATATCCGAGCAGTCTATATAACCAGATTATCCAATCTATAGAGGCAAATTAATATAAAAATTCTACGAAATTAAAGGAGTTTGTGTGAAGCATAAATATAACAATGTGGCATGATTACCAATGTGACAACTATATAATTGTTAAATGCTCTTACACGGGAAACTTTTATCACGTTGATTTCACATGCAGATGACATTAATGTGAATTTCTTGTGAAATGAAAATGGGTTGAAATTCATGTGCAATTAAATCTATAACAAGAGGCTCCTAAGAGCCGGACTCGCTCACCTAGAATTTTCGGGGCAGATCTTGCTTTTGGACCCGGTTGGTTAGAAAAGTGACTTTGTAAGCAAAATGTACATGGTCTCGTATTCACTAACTCTAATTTGCGAACGGATTAAAAATGAAACAGGGTTCTCAAATTTGCCTCAACGATAGTACACAGTATACTAAACTGTATGCACCAGGACGGATATAAGAAAACTACATAGCCAAAATATATTTATGTTATTTAAATTTATCAGTACAAACACCTCGATAAAGGGAAAATACACCACATATCCATCTAAAGAAAGGGGAAACACTTATTATATTACAGTCCTGATTTAATCTTTGGAACAAAAACACACTGGAGACCATTGTTTTACTCAGCACAATGTCTTAATGTTACTAAAGCTGAAAAACCTTTTGTTTTCATTTAAAAGTTAAGATATTTTAGAGAAGTGTTCAAATAGAAACCATATGTGCAATATAAATGGCTACTTTTGAAAAAGAAATGCAGGAGTATGAACTTACCAAAATACAGGAAGACGATCATACGTATGATCAAATCAAAATGGAACATGCTATTAATTTGACTTGGAAGCAGTGGTTTCACATTTTTATCCTAATACTTATAGTGTGTTTAATGTCTATTGGCCTAGGATTCACTGTTACTCGCTTTACAATATGTGGTAAGGAACACACAACAGTATTTTAATTCTAAATTGTGGATTTCTCCGATAATAGACCAATAGTGATACCTTCAACGAGGTACCAAAGTTATGAAGCAAAAACATATATCTGTTGAACGACATGTGTTTCTGGTATAGCCTTCATCGGGATCGTTCGATTCTAAAGTTCTTGAACTCATAAATGTTAAATGTATTAGAGTGTCGATACCGAATTGGTTTAAACAGAAATTTAACCTATCTAGTGCCAACATTGTAATTAGACAGGGATATAGAGTTGCAGTTTATCTGTTTATATCGAAGAAAATTATATCATATCATTTTTATTTCCTAAAGAGCAAGGTTTTTTGTTAGTAAGCCCTCGAATACAGTAAAAAATTACTGTATCCCAGCTTTCAGTGTCTGCTTCGAGGCTATGCAAATCTCGTAATTTAAAATATACAATTCCCATAGAAGGATAAAGCTTTATTTTTGAAAATTATCTTCGTTTCTCAAATAAATAAACAAGATGGACTTTTATAGGCAAAACTTTACTTTTACCCAATTTTAATATCCTATTTTTCCAGTGACAGTCCAAATTTTTCGCTACTCATCAAGTGCAACCTACTTCGAAGAACCTACCTATATAATAATTATCGAAATTGAGTGCATATACAGCAAGTATGACGTTGACA